TTGTTTACATTTCAGCATTTTTCTTCAGCTTAGTCTCTTTATTTATCAGGGGTTGCCACAGCAGAATAAACCACCAACTTATCCAGCATATGTTTACAGAGCGGATGCCCTTCTTGCTGCAACCCAGTACTGGGAAACACTCACACACGCATTTACTCACATACACCATGGCAAATTTAGTTTATTCAATTCACCTACAGCGCATGTCTTTGGACTGTGGGGGAAACCGGAGTACCTGGAGGAAACCCGCAAAAATAAATATGCAAACTCTACACAGAAATGCTGACCTAGCTGGGACTCGTTGCAGAGACCTTCTTGCTGTGTGGCGACAGAGCTAACCACATTTGTTTATTTAAATTTTTTGCATGGGTTTTGAAACGCTTCCTGGTAAATCCGATACCAACTACCTAGACATCTGACCTGCATATAAACTTATATATAGACATCATATAGATATAGATATATGTCTAGATATATAGATATAGATATATGTCTAGATATAGATAGATTTTCCTTGCATTTCTAGTAAGCACAATAAAAAGTTGACAAGTATACCACTAATATAGCTTTTGATGCTGTTTAACGAAGCAGACAATAAATTAAATAACAAGTCATTTTGATTAAAAAGTATTTATTCATTCAATCAAATGTTGTGCAAAACAATATTAATAGCAAGTCCATTGACTTGAGGGTCAACCATGTTGATAGTAAAATGATCACTGACAAAATCATTTTAGGCAAGGATTAATGCAAACGCAGACATCAGATACCATCAATATTTGAAGTAAAACAAAAATCAAAGTTTTTTAATTAGTATTAGTGCTCTAAGCTCTGTTTAACGCAGTTTACCATATTAAAATCAGCTCTGTGATTTTAGCAGGGAATGCCTAAAATTCCACAAAGCAAAGACCTCTAAATGAAATATAAAACTCCAGTATATTTACATCAGGACACCTTTTGTTAATCTGCAAATGAGAATCCTCAGGGATTGACCATGGTCATGAAATACACTTTAAATGTTTATCAGCTAGCCTTTCTAAAAGCATCACTTCTTACAAAAACAACTTGTGACTTTTCCGTTGCATGGTTTTCTATAATAGCGAGCTGAAAGCCCAGGAGGATGAAAATGATCCATCTAAACCCGCATCCTCATGATGGACAAGAGAATGTTGCGGAGAGGAGGATGATAAAGATGAGGGGGTGTGTCAGGCTTTAGAGCCACTAAATCCCATTATTAATTTCAGTTTTCTACGGCGCTTATGTTCTTACGAAAACAATACAATTTCCTCTGGTGGCATTAACCTCCCTTGTCCTAATAGCCGCCTCTGTCCTTGGTGCTGAAAAAGTCAAAATCAGATTCAGTTTTGCAAATGAAAGCTTGCCTTTTTTCATGGATGTAAACATGCAATTATTTACGTTTGCAAATTATAGCATGAGTTTCAATAGAAATGTGTCTTGCATCATGACCAAGTCACACGTTTGTTTTTCACTTGTAGATTTTGATATAAAATGTATTTAACCTGTATAAAAAAAACATTTGCATTCATTTTCACCTGTACTGTTCTGGTATCTGATACCCTGAAGATTATGACGCAGGTGATTCTGATGTTAAGCAGCAGATGGTTCTGCTCTCCCTGCTTGTGTTTTACACCGCTGGTATGAATAAGAGGATTTACAGAGGAACTGAGGTGTGTGAGTTGGCAGTCGCATGTTATAATGCAGCCATCAAAGAGACTAATAGTTATGAATCATTCAGGATATTCTGTTTCTTTCTGCCCATCCTTAACTAAACCACAGGCTCTACTCTTCACCACAATGTTAATCTCAGCCCTCATGAAATCAAAACTAACCATACGATTTTGCTTATATTGCTGGTTTTGTGGTGAACAATTCATCTGTGCATGTCATTAAGAGAAAAAAGTGTTTGCCCTTCTAATCTTAAATTAAAATTTGAACATTCACTTCCTTTTTAGTTAAATTGTCAGATTATGTATGTTTTAGCAAATGGGTTTGGTTATGATATTTAATCACGCTGCTCCAACTGTCAGTTTTGACTACAAACAGAAATAGTGAGGAGAAGGTGTCTGTTCCCTTAACACTTTTCCCGATATTTCTGAATGAAATGACTTTAATACATCCATGCAGTATCGCAGTTAAAAAATAAGCCACGCCCACTGTTTTCTCATTAATATTTAGTTTCTCTATAGGAACTGCTTCACTATATGAAAAAAATGGTCGCAGCCTCCTGTTCATGGGGACTTTAAAGGGCACCTATGATGAAAATCATCCTTTATAAGCTGTTTGGACCAACCCAGGCTCATTTTGAAAATGTATTCCCGTGGACGTTTCTGGAGACAGCGAAATATGACCCGGGAGGTGTGTATTTTTGCAGAGGCCGTTTTGGTTTTTGCAAATCAGAGGCTGTTGTGTACGCTTTTTTTGCACCTCGAATGTCTCTTGCGAGTGCCGTTTGTGCCTGCGCTGTTCTCGCGTGAACCCAGCAGAGGCCGCTGTCGACCAACTGAATGACTGAATGATTGACTGGGCGATTGGCCAATCAACCGGCCCATCTTCCTCTTTCCCTAAACCCAACCAATTTTTACAGATTGACCCGCCCACCCGCTTACTTCCCTAAACCCAACCGACGGTTTATAAAAGCCGTCCGGAAAAAGAAAAGCCCTCATCTGATTTTTTATCACGTTTTCGGATTTTACCACACACACATGCTGCGGGAAAGCCCTTTACTCGGAGGCAAGCGGCCAGCCAGCAAGTGCCAAAAGGAATGACGTCACACCACCCTGCAAGTTTAAAACATTTATAACCGAATATAAATATTGCATGTTTGTAATCAATTACAGCGATTTTACCTTCTTTAATTTATTAATCTTAGTTTGTGGATGTCTATCAGGTTTATTTTGTACGTTAACATAGCAGATTTTCATACACCAGTGGATATTAAGGCGTATTTAAGGCACAGGCAACAAAAACAGCTACATTGTGTCCAGAGCAGAAAAATCCAACAATCTAAAAGGTATAATAAATAATCTGATGGGTGTTTTGAGCTTAAACTTTACAGACACATTCTGGAGACACAGAAGACTTATATTAAATCTTGAAAAAGGGGCAAAATAGGTGCCCTTTAACACAAACCTCTGTAAATCCCAAAAATAAAGCAACGCATAAGTCCTCTTATGTTAATCTTATGGAAAAACATTTAATCTCTAAATTTAAAACATGGTCTAACAGAAAGAAAGCTAAGAAATAGAAATCTGCTTCTACTCAAACTTAAATACATCAGCTTAGTATAAAATTGAGTTCATGTAACCTTTTTTATTGAGTATAATTTACTTTATTTAATATTTGAGTAAGTGTGTGCGGGCATCTCTTAAAATGCTTTTGTTTGCAAATTGTCACACACACTCAAATAATTACTTTTACTGCTTGTTCAAACTACTTATTTAAAATGAGTTGAAACGACACAATTCTTAATTTTTTTTGGGAGGACAATTAATTGTTTTAAGTTCCATCTACTTAAATTGTTAAAATTATTATGTTAACTTAATCGATTTGTGCTAGGACAACATAAAGGAATTGTGTGGAACCAAGCTGTTTATACAGTGTAGTTACATTTTTCACCATGAGTGCTGTATTTAGTATGTATTATAACACTGTTGGAATATTCAGCCAATTGCATGCATGTTCAATAAAAAGGTCATGAAAAAATTTTGTTCAATGCAAAAGTATTAGTAATTTATTAGATACATGATGATACATGATGAATAATTTGTTTCAGATACAAGAATTACATTCAGGAGGTTCACAACCACTCTACATTTCCCTGACTCCAGTATTTATACACAGCTGCTTTTAAAAGGTTTTGGTAGAATTCTACTTTGGCGGTTGCACCCATACATACTTCATCTTTCTACAAACCTTCACTGTAGACCAGAGCTAAATAGTTAAACATATATCATTTGTTTTGAGGCCCATTCGACCCCAATATAATTTCTATCCATAGTAAACCTTGCAGACGTTCAGCTGTTGGAGACTTTAGGCACTTTATTTCTCTTCCCTGCTCCACAGGAAGCCTTAAATAAGAAGTGAAAGTAATTTTTGTTGTTAACTCCTTCTACTTGTGCTAACACGCTTAATTAGCTTATCACACTTAGTGCAGACATTTGGTTAATCTATCTCTACGTAACACATATATTTAATTCAAAAGTAAAAAACAATAAAAAATAAAATCTTTTTTCCCAATAACACATTAGTGATTATGCTCACCTGTATTGGTCTAGTGTCTTATACTCTGTAGATTATGACGCAGGTGATTCTGGTGTTAAGCAGCAGATGGTTCTGGTCTCCACGCTTATGTTTTACACTACTCGTATGAATGAATTGATTTCCAGAGGCATAGAGGAGTGTTTTTCACTCTTTAATCCCTGAGAATGCGATGTGTTTCCAGGCCTATTGTCGTCCTGTCTGCCCTTGAGTTCATCTCTGTTGTGAACCACCGCTGGCCATCAATACTGGCCCATCAGACTGGCACAGAAAGGGGCTGATTGGTTTGGCAGTGTAAGAGAGCAAAAACCACAGTGCCAATGTGAGACGGCTATCAAATGCCACCGTGAACAGTCAGGGCTCAGGACGTCTGCCAAACTGGTGATCGCAGACCTTAACACAGACCTCATTGATTCAAATAGCTACTGAAGTGGACAGCTTGTGAATAATTAAAAAACTATATATATATATATATATATATATATATATATATATATATATATAATTTTTTTTTTTTTTTCAGCTTGTGAATAATAATAATAAATACACTTGAATCATGACGTCAGACTATGTATATGGAACTGTTGTTGTATGCTGCTCTCTAGTGGTGACAAAGATGAAAGCTTTAATGGTTTTGTTTCTACCTGTATTGATGTTGTGTCTTTTTAGATTTTGAATGTGTGACCGTTATTTTGAGAGATTTTTTTTCTCTCTTCACGCAGGTGTGTGTTTGCCTTGCCTTGTGGACGTGGTTCCTGTTAAGAACGAGGACGGTTTAGTTATCATGTTTATCCTGAACTTTGAGCTGGCAGATCAGCAGGACAGACCCCTCGACAGCTCACCAGGCAGAGACATCAACAACAAAAACCCCATTCCGTGGCTCTCTAAAGGTATTTTAGGTTTATATTCAAGACTATCAGTTTTGTTTTTGTTTAATCAGTGGTATATGTAAAAAAATATTTATTAACAGTGTGCAAATTATACGTTGACGATCAGGGAGGGGGTCAATTCTTTTAGTAATAATAGTTTGTGTAATACATGCTTCAGTCATTTATGTATTTATTTAAATTATCAAATTTATTAATAAAACATATTTAAGTTTTTAGTGTTTGGAGGGTTGTTTACTGTATTTTGACTTACAGTAGCTTTCTTCTGATTATTTCAGATGTTAGTGTTGGCCAAACTATACAAACTATGCAGCTGATTTGACTTTACTTTGAGGCTATATGTAGACACAAACAGCTATTTAAATAGGAAACAGTCTTGTGAATAAGATGTCTATCGGTGCTTTAGATCTGCTAGTTTCAGACTGTTAAATGAACTTTTTTCTCACATTGTCTGATTGGAGTTATTATGCATTCACAATTATATGAACCATTATAGGGGTCGTCAAATGTATATTTATATGATATATTATTTTAATTATTAACAATATTATTAAAATACAGGGCGAACTATTTCTCAGTATTAATTGGCTGACCCCCTATACAACTTCTATTCCCATCCTTCAGGGGGGATCAAGTGTTAAATAGAGAGGTCAATCCCCCCACACTCCCCTGTAATTTAAACCCTGTTTATTTCTCATCCTCATGTTGTTTCAAACCCCTGAGACCTTCTTTAGTCTTCAGAACACAAGTTGAGTTTTAGGTGAAAAATAGACAGCAAGATTCAAAGTCAGAAAAAACACCAAAAAAAAGTCTCATTACAAACCATATACCTTCAATAAAATATTATCAAGCTCAGATAATACTTTTAGGTGCACATAAAACAAAAATAATGACTTTGTTCAACAGTTTCTTCTTCTCAGTGTCAGTATAGTATTTGTCTCAACCTCAGACCTCAAGCCAAGCACTGCCCTTGCCATTGACCTTTGGCTAAATGTCTGATGCATGTGGCACACTTTACTGAAAACACTTTAGCAGATCCTCAGTTATCCTCTGATTAGTTTAAATGTACAGGATTGTCACGAGTGTCTGTCAAGTGTGCTGCATTCTTTATCAGTCCACATGGAAACAAGGCTGAGCGGATAAAAAAACAAAACAATTATTTATATTGATGACATTATTTTCTGTTGGCAGTGAAAACTTTCAGGTATTCTGTCATTTTGGTCACAAACATAAGGAAAAGACATCATTTAAAACAGTATCTGTTTTTTATTTGTGGATACTCGTTATTTTGAGGAAAATTCTATGCCCACAAACATGGCATGGCACAAAATGAAATGTGATTGGTTGGTTAAATTGTCAATCATTTAACATAGTGGGCTGTTCCTGACTATTCAAATAGGTTGAAGCTCTCAGAGCTTCAGCCATCAGTCGGAGGTCTGGCTGCATGTGTAAGACTAGTATAGTGTGCAAGTTCATGTTTTGTGCTAGGACGCACCTCTGACATATTACCTCATATGCACCTGAGCTTTGTTTTGCATTACTCAAGAATGTGCTGAATATACTGACTTTTAGGGATGGGTAGTATTTAGGATACATGTATTTCAAATATGTATTTTAAATACTAAATTGTAATAGTATGGTTAGATTCAGGAGCAAGTCAAAATGAAACAGGAAAACAAGACAAACAACATAAAAAAGTACAGTGGCGATTCCTACAAAACTTAAAGCTTAAAAGTTAATTACACAATTTGACATAGTTAATCAGTAAGAGACAAACATATGGAATAATACTCAAGTCTACAGACTGGTCAAAAACTTTCAACTCAAGTTATATGGCAGCAAAAACAGAAAGCTATTTTGATTTTATTTATTTATTTTTTTGAGATATCATCACCTTAGAATTATAAGGTTATATCTGACATTTTTTCCAAAATTTAGTTATTTACATATTCTTATTAACCGACGCAGTGGCGCAGTAGGTAGTGCTGTCGCCTCACAGCAAGAAGGTTGCTGTTTCGAGCCTCGGCTGGTTCAGTTGGAGGTTCTGTTTGGAGTTTGCATGTTCTCCCTGCATTCGCGTTTCCTGTACAGTACAGTATGTTTTATGCTGTGTATTAAAGAGTACAGTCTCAAAATAATATAGAAATGACTAAAACTGGAGATATTAGTAGTTTAGTAGTTTTCAGAAATCGTGATTTTTATATTGAGTATTGAAGATTTCAATTACAAACATTTTGAAATATAAGACTTTTAAGAGGTGGTGGCAATTTTCACAATCAAGAGATATAGTATAATATTCCATCTCATTATCTGCATTGTATGATTTTTAAAGTGACAAGAAAGGATCATCTTTAAGACAATGCTTTCTGTATGAAATTTGTAAAAAATTTATGCTAAAATTTAAGAGAAACACAAGCTACATTTTTAGAAGTGAATGAGTTGAAAGAGAAGCAGACTTAAACTCAGTTCCTGTTCCTGTCAAACATTGTTTTATTTTACTAAGCCAGTTAAATAGTGAAGGGATTGATTCCAATATGCCTATTGATAGAAGGTGTATTTTAGTTTGTTTTGATACACCTAAAATTGAGGTATTTTGTATTTTTATTTTAATACATTTCAATGTAATTTTGCCCATCCCTGCTGACACTGTGGAGAAGAAACTGTTGAATAAATTTGTGTGACAGTAACAACAAGATTTGTCCTTCTTGTCCAGTAAAAACAGAAATAAAGTGAAAACAGAAGCTTCCTGTTGCACAAATGACTGCATAATGAAACATTTGAATGCTTGTCATTAAAGACCCAACAATTGGTGACGTAATCAGTACTCTGCAAATTAAGAAATTATTAATACAAATAAACTGTAAAAATCTAAACCACTCAAAAATATACATGTATTTATAATTTATTGGAATTTTCATATTGCTGTTTGCTGGCTGTTTTATGTTGTCAGACTACAAGCCTGTTTATAAATTGCATTCAGTGAAGCCATCTTAGGCTGTGTTAGTTTTTACCGACATCTCTTCTGTGGGACTCGGATTGTTACCTATAATCATTAGTTATGTTTCTAACCATTGTTGCAAATGTAGCATTAGAAATTGCAATACTGCATAAATCATTAGTAAATAAATGATTGTTTTGTATCTAGTGTTAAAGAGATCAAAATCATCACTTTCTGTAATAAATGAGTTTCTTTGAGAGACACAAAAATAGCGATTGCTATCATGACATCTTGCATTTAGAGGAAGAAGCTTGATGTTTGGGGTTACAATCTTAAGAGACACTCCTGTGAGGGAAATCAACCACCAAACCATTTTGATGACAAACTTTGCCTTAGGCATAGGGATTGAGTCATGAGACATGATCTGTGTGATGGATTTTTTTTTTGTTGCACATCAGGGAATTTATTTGATAAATGTTTTTTTCCATCATAGCTTTTAATATGTTTTCTTATGTAAACTGTATCAGTCCCAATCTAGAACATACGTTATTAATCACATTTTAGTATTTTATGATCATCTTGGTTTTTATGTATTATCTCAAAATATTTTTTATAATATGTTAATGCAAATGTAGTGCACAGTCAACAATTTTTGTAAATTATATAGTATTTAACATTAATATGAACTGTATTTTAATGTAGGACAGTTATGCGGTCTGTATTGTGAAAATTACCATATTACAATTTTGTAGATATACAGCAATAGCAATGGTGCTGTCAATGTAAATACAGTATTTTTGCTCTAATTGATTTACTGTAAGTTACTGGTGAACTGCTGCAAGTAAGTTACTGTAGATTCTACAGGAAATTGTTAACAGTGTAGTGTGTAATTATGATCTAACACAATACATTTATTTCTTACCCTTGGGTATTTCCTCAGCAAGACGACGTCGTCTCCGGCTGCCACTGCCCTTGCTGCACTCTCTGAGTGGCAGTAAACAGTCTCTGCATGAAGACACTGAAAAAGGCTTCATGCAGCCGATGCCTCATATGGGCCATGAGTCAGTAGCCCTGGACAAACTGCTCTCCCTACCTGAACGCTCAGCACTCGGAGGATCTCAGCTGTTGTTCTGGGAAGATAAGGCTCAGACTGAGTCTGAAAGTGAGCTGCGGCCATCAGAAGTGTCTCCTCCTCTGCCTCAGGGCTTCTCGCAGTCCTCCCCACGTCTGCACAACCTCACCTCAGAGGCGTCTCCGTCCAGTTGCAGCATGGCCCACAGCCGCTCCTGTGAGAGCCTGTGTGGCATGAGGCCCTCACCCTCCACCAATGACTTTAACTGGGACAGAAAACTGCCAGTCAGACCCAGTAGCACAGGTAAAATAGAAGGTTGAATGCGCTGACCAGATTTCTGAAATGTATTATCGAATTTAGTGGTAAAAATAAAATTGAAATCTCTCTTATGATTATATATTTAAAATTTGGGGACAGCACATTTAGTATAGTTCTTATTTTTAATGAAAATATCTCTGGTTGAGGATGAGAAAAGAATAACAGGGAAATCTGATTACTCAGTGGTAGAAGAAAAAAACAGGTACACCTGGTCATACAGTGGTCATACAGTCAAAAATGAGCCAAAAGATCATGTCACAAGTGACATGCAAAGCAAATGTCTTTTATTGTCTTTTAACACGGCCATTTATTAAGGTCTGTGTAGATTTGATCATCAATTTTTGTAATCAATATATTGGAATGCCTGAGAAACAGGGTAAAATAAAGATCTGAGTGATTTTTACAAGGGTCAAGCTTTTATGGCAAGGCGAGTTGGTCAGAGTAATGGAATGGGCAGATTTTTTTGGTTTGCTCATGGTAAGCTGTGGTGAGGATTTACCACCAGTGGTCAGTGGAATAACCAGTGGACAAACTACAAACCAGCCACACTAGACACATAAGGTGACTTCGGATGCTTATTTTACACAAGCTGATAAAAAGTCTATTACTTTTATTGGTTAAATGTCCCAATGATAGTGTAATTAAACATTTTTTATCTTGTCAAAAACACCACAGTGAGCAATTTTGCTTCACATCTCTTTAAAATGCTCTCTGAAGCTGCAAGATCAGGAATGGCAGCCTTAATCAAGCCTTAAGCTTTTGCTTCATGACTGACATAAAGAAGTATTTGAAGCTGTGTCCACATTAAAAAATATAAGATCGTGCCACACATATAATCATTGCATATAATTTATCATTGCTTGCCATTGCAGCCCACCATTATCATTGTAAAATTTATTCAAACAAACATCTATATGAATAGTGACACTGCTGGATTGAATAAATGCTTGGATGCAGATTCTGATCTGGTGAGTGAGTAATTCAACAACACCACAATTACAGATCTGCACATGATGGATAATGATCTGATTCTAAACATGAGTGAACTGACATTTGCATTGGACATCTTTAACCAAATGAAACAATCACAAATTATATAAATAAATTACTTACACCTGTCAGACAAATAGTTTGTACAGTTATTTTTAATTGCAATTTTGATGCAAGTACAAATTCCTATACCATCAAGATCGTAAAGCAGTTTGATGAAAAATGTTTTGGACACACACAAATTTTTTTTTTAATCAAATGCATGCCAAGGTATGCTTTATAACAGTTTTTCCCAACCATGTTCCTGGAGGACCACCAACACTGCATGTTTTGGAAGTCTGCTTTGTCTGTCACACCCATTACAGGTCTTTCAGTCTTTACTAATGGAACATGGAAAATGGAACATGGAAAAATGTACAGAGGTGGTGGTCCTCCAGGAACGTGGTTGAGAAACACTGCTTTATGACATCAATCAGATCTTTGTGTGTTTTCTTTCTCCTAGGTGCCATGCACCGCAAAGCCAGCTTACAGAATGCTACTTCTGACTCAGATCTCATTCGGCTCCGGAGCTCAGGTCGGGGCACCCAAATATCACACAACTTAATAGATATGAAGCCGGACGCATTAATTGCAGTCCCCACCGGTGAGATTGACATCATCGCCCCCTGCAAGCTGATCGACCGGACCCATAATGTGACAGAGAAGGTCACTCAGGTGAGGCTTTTCACTAACAATATTGCAGAGTTGATGTTAATAGCATTTTAAAATATGGTGTTTGAATTTGCTCAATGACAAAAGAGCTATAAATAAATAATTCAGGATTTTAATTCTGCAGAATTATTGTATAATGATCTTGATCTGTTTAACAGATTTACTGCTTGGCTGATATTTTTTTGATTTTCATTGGCTTTTTTTCATTTGCTTCATTTTCACTAGTTTAATGTTTGTTTAGTTTAGTTTAATGTCCTTTATTATTAAAAGTGATCTTTTTGCTTAAAGAAAACTCCATACATTTAAAAGGCACACATGGTGTATTCACCACAGACATAAATTAACTGATGGAGTATTAATAAACTGCCTACTAACATCTTTTAATGGAGGGTTAATGCTTAACAAATAATGAATTAACTATTTGCTAATGCTTAATAAATGTTTCATAGTGTGTAGTTATTATAAAGTGTTACCAAAGCAGTGAACACATGAAGAAAGGAAAATGTAAAAAGGGCATGGAAAGCCTAGACTGTAACATGAAGTGATGCTGACAACATGTCTGCGGATCCAAATGCAGGATTTATTAAACAGAATGGTCAGGCAAGCAACGGTTAACACCGGGGCAAACAGATGTAAACAGGCAAATCCAGAGCCGTAGTCAAATATCAGGTGAGTGGTCAGAAGGCAGGCAGCAGACAGGAGTAAAACAAGAAAACAAGGCGAGGATCAAAACACGGAAAAGCAAAGAGAAAGGAAACGCGCTGTAATGTCACTAAACAGTAAACAAGTCTCAGCCACTTGAGTGAGAATCAGAGGGGTTTAAATCATTCAAGTGATCAATGATCATGAGTATCAGCTGTGTGTGTGTGTGTGTGTGTGTGTGTGTGTGTGTGTGTGTGTGTGTGTGTGTGTGTGTGTGTGTGTGTGTGTGTGTTTGTGTTTGTGTGTTTGTGTCCAAATGAGGAGTGATTGGGGCAAAGACATCTGGGATTTGTAGTTCAGTAGGAAGTACTTTTTAATTGAGAAAATACAGCTGATGATTACAACAAACTACAGGAAATAATCTCACATCACAACACAGACAAAAGCTAAAATCTCTCAGTTAGAAACTAATTCTTCAGCTTGTCAGAGTTTTCATATTATTTACAAAAATACAAAAATGTATTCATCGGTGTTTTTTTTTTTCTTTTTTCTTTTTGCATGTTTGTTCAGGATTTGTTCTTGCATTGGTGGTTGGTTGCTGGAGTGTTTAGCTTATATCTGGTGTCTGTTGGGTTTAGATAATGGGTATAGGGTTTAGAGGTGTTTCTTAATGATTGCAAAGAGCTTCACCACTGGTACTTCACATATACCGGTAGGGTCACCCATAGTGGACTGGTCTCCATTGAGATGCCAGACTAATACAAACCAGCTGATTCTGGACAGCAGTAGATTATTTTCTGCACAGTTACAGAGGATCATAGACAAAAGACAATGGAAACAACATCAGAATTACCTGAAGATGTTGAGGTCAGAGGTGGATTGATGAAAGCAACTGTTCAAAACACAATAAAATAAAATATTATAAACATATTATATTATATTATATTATATTATATTATATTATATTATATTATATTATATATTATGTGAGTCAGATTTGACACTTTTGCTCCAATATCCTACATTTTTGTCTTATATACCTTAATTTTGTTATTTCACTTCATTTTGGCATATTATTCCTGAAAATAGATACAATTTTTGCTTTTTAGAATGCTTTTATATTTAAGAATTTTTAGATATTTGGACTAGAAAGCTATTATTTGCAGTGTTGGAGTACAGGCTGTAGCAATTTACAAGTTTTTAATGCAGTTGATGGAAGTATAATTACAACTTTCATTTGCTACATGGAGCATTGGATATTTAGCTGGGATTTGAAACTGTGGTCACTTTACATATTTCATGTACAGTATTTAAGTATTTATATGTAAAAATATGCAGTACATATGTAATTACAAAGTTTATTTTGGATGTAAACTGTATTTATGTTTCGATTTTGATGTAAAAACATTGTAGTTACATTATTATAACATTAATTTTTATGTAATATTCTTGTAATTACAACAAATAAACATTTTAACTAAATTGTTATAACATCGTAATTACTGTGTAATAACATTGTAACTACTATGTAATAACATTGTAATTACATAATTGTAACATTGTAGTTACATTGTAACTACTTTGCAATATTATTCATATTACTATGTATCAACGTTGTAAATAGAGTGGTATAACATTGTAAAAATGTATGTTGCATATACAGTATTTGGTTATTTATGGCTGTAAATGTAAATATACAGTGCACATGTTATTAAAAACTTAATTACTATGTAATTGCATTGTAAATACATCCAAGATAATATTTATCAACAAACGTTTATTTGTATATTTCATGTGCAGTATTTGTGTATTACGTTATGATTACGATGTAAAAAAACATTGTAGTTACATTGTTACAACCTAGTAATTACTATGTATCAACAGTGTAATTAAATCATTTTTACATTGTTATAACATTGTAATTTGTAAAAACATTGTGAATAATATGCAGTAACATTGTAAATACATTGTTAAAACATTGTAGTTACATTGTAAATACTATGCAATATTATTGTAAAGTCTATGTATCAACATTGTAAATACATTGTTATAACATTGTAAAACAATGTATTTTGCATATACAGTATTTGGGTATTCATGGCTGTATTTGTAAATATACTCAGTGCACATGTAATTACAAACTTAATTGTCATTGCATTACAATGCAATAACAATGTAAATACAATGCATCTACATCTAAGATAATATTTATAAACTTAAATGTTTCTTTGTATAATTCATGTAAAGTATTACTACGTAAATATACAAATACAAACTTTTATATTTGGCTGTAATTACTATATCATTCTATTACAATTACTATGTTATAACTACAAAGTTATAACGTTGTGATTACATTGCTCTAACTTTGAAACTACATTGTTATAACATTGCATTTACTATGTATCAACACAGTAATTACTATGCAATATTATTATAATTACTATGTATCAACATTGTAGTTACGTTGTTTTAACATAGTAAAAAAATGCATGTTGCATACACAGTATTTGGTTATTCATAGTTGTATATGTAAATATACACAGTGCACATGCAATTACAAACTTAATTACTCTGTCATTGCATAGTTTTTACAATGTTCTTGCATTGTAACTACATCCAAGATAATATTTCTAAACTCAAATGTTTCTTTCTATATTTCATGTACAGTATTTGTATATTAACATGTAAATAAATGCAGTGCATTCGTAATTACAAACTTTTATTTTGGATGTAATTACTATGTCATTACATTATAATTACTGTGTAGTAACTACAGTGTTTTAATGTTGCAACTACATTGTTATAACATAGTAAAAACTTTGTATGTTTTGTGGCCAAGATAATATTTAACTTAAATGTTTCTTTGTATATTTCATGTACAGTATTTGTGTATTTATACATAAATATATGCAGTACATTTGTAATTACAAACTTATTAAATATAAACTTTTATTTTTGAATGTAATTATTATGTCATTACATTATAATTACTATGGAATAAACATTTCATTAATGTTATAATAGTGTAATAACAATGTTGTTACATAGTAATTATGTAATAACAGTGTAATATTAATGTAATTACAATGTTTTTTTTTACATAGTAATTATAATTATTTCCAAAATGAAAGTTTGTAATTACATGCTGCATACTGCATTGTACACGTGTACTATGTATATTTATGTATACAACAACAACAAAAAACAAATACTGAATTTGCAACATACAATGTTTTTACAATATTTTTACATAGTAACTATAATGTAAAGACATAGTAATTACATCCAATAAGTTTGTAATTACATATGTACTATGTATATTTACTTATGAATACACAAATACTGAACATGAAATATACAAAGAAACAATTAAGTTTATAAACATTATCTTTATTGTAATTAATATAATGACATAGCAATTAAGATAGTAATTACATTTGTATCCTGTATATTTATGTATACAACTATTAAAAAAAACAAATACTGTATATGCAATATACAAAGAAACATTTGCATTCATAAATATTATCTTGGATGTAGTTACAATGTAATGACATAGTAAACTACAATGTATTGACACAGTAACTGCACACAAGACAAAAGTTTATAATTACGGAGTACATCTTTGATGTACATTTAATGTTATAACAATGTAATTACAATCTCATTACATCCAAAATGCAGTTTGTAATTACATACACTCAAATTATTTATTTATTTTTGCTCGTTCTAACTAATTTAAAATGAGCTAAAACAACACAATTCTTAATATTTCATTGGGACAACTTAATTTTTTTTAGATTTAATCCACATAAATTTGTTAAAAGTGTTAAGTTAACCTAATCAATTTGCGTTGGGACAACATTAATGATTTGTGTGGAACCCTGCATTTATTACAGTGTATGTACTGTGTATATTTATATATAAATACACAAATTCTGTACTTTAAAAATATTTAAATTTTATTAAACATAGTTTGAGCTACTAATGCATTATTAAAATTCAAAGTTGTGCTTGTTAGCATTAGTTATTGCACTGTGAGGTGAACAAATTTATTTTCAATAACCAATGTAAACAAAGATGAATAAATGCATAAATAAGTGCCTTTTTCATTCTTTGTTCATGTTAGTAAATACATTAAATAATGGACCATCCTAAAGTGTGACCGAAAATCAACAATCAATAATTAATTCAAATTCAGTTCTTTTACGTGCTCTTTAATAACACTCATACCTGTAGTTAATGCAGCATCCTGGGCAGGTTCATGTTGGTGGCAGCTGCACATGGCTGGCTGAACAGACACTTGCCCTAGATTCCCATTTGAAGGGCATTCCAGCAGAGCACAGAGGGAACGAGGT